CTACAACTGCCTGAAAGGAAGATGGAGGCAGGAGATGGAGGGTCTCCGCTCCCAAGCAACAAGTGACAGAGGAACAAGCAACAAGGACAAGAGGAAACAGCCTAAAGCTGCACCAGGGGAGGTTCAGACTGGATATTAGGAACAATTTCTTAACTGAAAGGGTGCTCAGGAGTTGGAACAGGCTGCTCAGGGCAGTGGTGGAGTCACCGTCCCTGGAAGCGCTCACAAACTGTAGACAAGGCCCCTAGCGATATGGTTTAGTGGTGGCTTTGGCAGTGCTGGCATTAAGGTTGCACTTGGTGATGTTACAAGTCTTTTCCAACCTGGCTGGTTCTATGAATTAAACGTTTTTTCTTGCTATTTTATGCACTAGTCTGCAGGAGCGTTGCAGGGGAAATGGAGACACAGTGTGCCCCGAGGTGCACAGCAAGAATAATTCAGGCAACTGATGAAAGCTGCAACAAAGGATTTCTGATCTGACACCAGAACAATACTCTCCATCTGAAACAGGCTGTGGATTCTCCATCCTTGCTGATTGTTTCAAAATTCAGCTGGAGAAGGGCCTGAGCAATCTGTTCAGCTTTGAAGTTAGCTCTGCTTGCTGACTTTCATCTTGTCATTTTATCTCTGCTATAAACTGGGGAGGTATACTATCTCGATAAAACATTTATCTAAAAACATGCATAGCTTCATGTACATTTGTTCTTATATTTAATCAGGTGAATTCTCACATCACATTATTTAGACACACTGAATTACATCTTTATTATTTACTGCATCTTTTGTCGGTGTCTGTTTTGTGACAAGCTGTATTTGTATGGAAATCATAATCTTACTAAAACGCCCAAACCAGCATTCTGAGCATTGTCTCTGCTGATGACTTTCACCAATTCATGGGGTTTATATGTTTTCAACATAGCAGCAACAAGTACATGCAGCTTGCATTTTAATGGATAATTAGTATTATTCAAAACATTTTTATTTGAAAAGAATAATTTACATTGATAGCAAAAGCAGACAAATTAATTCAGGAGGTTACACATGCTTTTTTAATAGTTATTTTTTAAATGGACTGAAAAGCCACCTCTCTAATTTGTGGGAGTTTATTCCAGTTTGCTACATTACAAGGGCTGAGGATGGCAGGGAACAGACAGAAACAAAGCAATATGCTGAAGATCAGAGAGCAGGAGGTGAAGAGGAGATCCAGAAATGGAATTCAGATTTCCTGTGCCCTGGTCAAAGGGCTGTTCACAATTGTCAAGTAACGTCGGATCACGTGGTGCCAGCAATAAATGTTAAGGGATCATATGTATTGAAAACATTAAAACCAAAACAAAACAAACCCAAATCACACACACACACACAAAAGAAAAACAAACCCCAAACAAAAAAACCTGAAACACTCACTTTAAAAGAAACCAAAACTCTAAATTAAAAACCTTCTTGGCTTAAACCCAGCTATTCTTTCTGCAGCAGAAGTGCTGTTTTTGGATGGGTAGCAAGCACTGCTCCCCACTATGAAGTCAAGCCCACATCCCTCAGTATGCCCCTGAGGGACCCCTCCAAGCTGAGAGGCCTGATGACAACATGCTTTGTTCATGCTGTGGGTTCTTGTGGACAAGATCCAGGCAACATGGAGCTTCTAGGTGACATGGCAGCTGCTTCTAACAGCCCCCTGTGCTTTCCTGCAGCACTACCCTTCCTCCTTGCCTTGTTTCTGCCATCTCAACGCATGTGGTTGCTATTCACACAGTGCACAAGTTGACCTGAGGTGCCATTCTCCCCTCCCTGCTCTTTCCCACCTTTCCCTTCAGGAAATCCGTAGCTTGGCAGCAGAGGGAGTCAGGGTGCATGAGAACCTGAGGGCAACAGGAAAGGAGTGTTGGCATGGTCCAAGCACTACCCCCAGCCCCACTTGGCAATGCCATGTGTCACCTCATTGAGCACCATTCCTGCTGCCCCACTCAGCCCCACTGTCCTCCTCTCCACATTTCTTGCTCCCAGATGAATATACGAACAGAGAAAAATGAGAAGGGATGAGGAAGATAGAGGCAGAGAACAAAGAGTAGAATGAGAGATGGGAAGGTGGAACAAGCTTTCCTTGTCCAGCAGAAACCTCTTGGTGTGGCCAGCTTCCCTTGCGGGGATCTCCAGCTCCATATGTCCAGCAATGTGAGGTATCACTTGAAACTGGGGACCAGACATCAGAGCACTGGTCTTGAAACAGCAGTCTTCAGATTGGCAACGTTTACTGATATTCAGGAGCCATGACAGCAAAATGAGCAAGAACCATTGTGTGTGAAGTGACTGCAGGCCATCTGACCCCTGCTCCAGGTCAGAAGGATTTATGAAAATCAGCCACAAACTCTAGATCATGCTTCTAAAATGGGACACTGGCAGCTTTCTCTGCGGCCAGACCAGTTTCATAAGAAACAAACCTAGCTGGAGCTGCATCTAAAACCATTTAAACCCCAGCTCATAAGAGAAAGCAACACCCAAAGATCAGCAACACAGCATGACAATTCAGGTTGGAATGCTAGGGGAGATAAATCTGTGTATGGGAGAAGTGGTACTCTGTCTGCAGACTCCAGTACTGTAAGGAAAGGGAGGAATAAACTGAATTACAACTGATGGCATGTTGTGCTCTGGTCACACAGCCAATGGAATGTGTCAATAGAGGGACACTACAAAGACCAAGAAAAGCTCATGAGTCAGAGCAGGGACAGGCCTGTGTGGATGGGACCAATATCTACAGTAACTTGGGTTGAGGCTGTTTTTATGGTAACCATCTGAGATACGGACACCACAGCATTAGCCAGGAAAGAGCACTGATCCTAGGGAATTGTGCTGTGCAATAACCTGCGTTGTACTGTTTAGTCCTGAAGAACTATCGGACACTGTCAGAGGCAGTTTAATGGGTAATTTGGGCCACAGCCAATTTTGTTCTACAAATATCATATAAATTCTGATTTGACTGTTTGCACATAAAGACAGTGCCTAGAGTCCCCCATGCTCTGAGTGCTCCATCTTTTTAACCAAAATATGATATACAATCAGCGTGTGATGAATCTATGCAGAAGTCAGAAATCCAATGAAGGATAAATTTTCCTAATCCTTTTGACCTACACGTGTAATTTTTAATGTAGTCTTTCAATTATTCCCATTACTGAGTTACATAGCTCCAGTGAACAAATTCTTCTTTGCTTGTAAGATGATTTATCACAGCTCTTCTCTTAGTTCAGCTATCTTACCATTTTACCTGGAGATGATAATTTGCCATCAGCAAGTCATGGCACATGCACAGTGAAAAGATGCAGTCTCAGCACAAATCTCATGGGCTGGAAAGAGTTATCCCTGTGCTCAGCAGGTACCAACTGTCAGGAAAATCCAGCACAGCTATCCATGGAAAAAAAAATACTGAAGATAACTTTCTGTATCTCTAGAAAAAAAGAATAACCTCCCAGGAAGACCCGTGATTCACAAATGAAGGGAGGGATAGCATGGAGTAAAAAGGTCCAAATGACAGATTTGGGCTGAAGTCAAGTTTCCCGTCAAATATGAAGGAAACGTAGCTAGAGACAAATAAACCCAAACACATGAGAACTGCCAAGAATAACAGGAAATAAATTTTCTTTTAATATTTTTGTGTGCATTATATGGTCTCTAACATTAAAACAGTGTTCTCCTGGAGAGGAGCACCTCTTCCTGTCCCTGCTGAAAGCAAGCAACAGAACGGCTTCTAACCGTTCCCCAAACTGTATGAATGTTAATTTTCTATATACTTTACAGTAGCTATGGTATACAGTTATATATCTATTTCTATATCAGCTTACATTCAGCTCTAAATACAGAGTGGAGACTATGCCTGGTCCAATTTCCAAGTACTTCTTCTAACATCTCATCTCATTCCTGCAAATTCCACAGGCATTCCAGCATTGAAGTCAGTGGGTACCAGTGACTTAAATGTCTTTGAGATCAAGCTCTCAGTGCCCTCCTCTCTACAGAAATGTGTACACTCTTAGTACACAGAAATTCCTCCTCCATCCCCAGTCTCAGGAGCCTCAAGCACTCAAGAGGAGCACCATCTTCTGTGCAGGGTTACAATGCCCCTAGGTATAGGATGAAATTCCAGTTACTGCCTAACTTGGAATTCTACCTGATGTATACTGGATTAATACACAGAGATTTAGCCATTTATGGAACAAATCTGTGTCTGCACAGGGTGTGTTCCCCTACACAGAGGATGGAACCAGCTTCTTGCTGCATACAGCAGAAGGAAAGGCTCTTACTTTAATTGTTTTGTTCTTTTTTTCAGAGAAGTCTGCCTCTGTGCAGCAAACTGTCCCCTATATCATGTGTCCTTGGCTCTATGCAGCAACCGGTACTTCTGCAAGGCTGAATGGTACTCAGTTCAGCAGCAGAATATACATATTATATGATGGGGGTGAATGCCTGCTCTAGATAACTAATTTTCTGTTATTTGGTAACAATGCTTAGACATCCTAGAGGTACGGTCTTGCTGATCTTCTGCTGAAGTGAGCTAAGCTGCTTAGCCCCGGTGTCCCACAGAATCATGTCACTAAGAGTCACGTAGAATAATACACTTCAGACAGCTCTTCCCCACTTACCCTACCCAGTCTTATACTGAAACCTACCCATATACCTGGAAATGTTCTCCATATATCTGAAAAACAAAGTTCTCAAACAGACATCCAGTGCTACCAGAGTGAATTCTTTTCCCCAGCTTGGCCTGCAGATACATTTACCTCCCCACCAGCACCTGGTGCTGTGCAGGTCAGCACAGCCAGAGAGCCCACAGGAAAACTTAGGATCCCAGATAACGATTCTTCTCCCAAATCCCATTCCAATGTGTGACTCCCTTCTGCTTTGTGCAGGAGCTCCCAGGTCAAGAGGTAGGAACTCAAGTGGAGATACTGGAAGCAGGCTCAGCAACTGGAGAGTGTGGAGGTAGCCAGACCAAGACAAGTCACCAGAATAAGTTAATTCACTGCAAGTTCTCAGTACTGCAAAGACAGACAGGGTCTTGGGCTTAGGAGCAGTGGCAGCTATACTTACTGCTCCCTGGAACTTGCCTGCAATGGGCATCAAGAGATTTCTTCAATGGGAAGGAAGGGACAGAACAGGGGAGAGGAGAGTAAGAGACAGCACTCTGTTCCAACAATCTTCTTGAGAAAAACACAATGCCATACGAAATCCAGGATTTTTCCTTTTGGTAGCAATTGTGTGTGAGGGAGGCAATGGGCTTGAGACAAAGACCTTCCCAGAGGTAGTTATAAATGCCATACAGGGACAAGGTTGGCCTTGGGTTGAGGGCAGTTCATATCCCAGTGATGTCACTTCTCTGAGGCCAGCAGACACAGGAGGAGGCTGTGCCATCATATGGCAGAGAGGCTCAGGCTGACTAGCCATAACCAAACTCATACTGATGTCATACAGGAAACCTAGACCAGGAGTCGTAAGGCATAAAGGTCTGCACTCCTCCACATGAAATGCAGCTTAGGGCATCTGTACTATTGGAGAGGACAATATCTTGTCCCCATGGCTGTCTCTCTGCAGGGGCAGAGCAAGAGAAGATGCAGCACATTTATAAGGACCTCTGGGAAATGAGCAGTTCATGGCAAGCCGACCAGTTTGAGAGAAAAGAGGGGAGCATCCCACCTCTTTGGCAACAGATTCAGAAGATGGCAGCAGCCACTGAGACAGACTAGCAGAGAGGGGACTTTGTATACTACAGCACCTGAAGAAGAGGATGTGGAGGAAGGCAGGGAAGCAAGGAAACGGTGGAGAAATCACAAACAAGGACTTGTCTTGGGTTGTAGGTAGTGGATGATGATTTCTCTTCTCTCCTACTGTTGGTAGCTCACAGAGCATCAGGCCTTCTGCGCTGCTGCTCCAGAAGCTGTCTGCAAGGGAGGTGCAGGGGTTGCCCAGATCGGCGGAGACGTCGAGAAGGAAGGCCAGCCAGCTGGCGACAGATCTCATCTGAAGACACAGCAGACACACACAGGTTGACAGATAATCAAAGCTTCCCCCAAACTCTTCACCACCAGAACAGTTAGAGGTACATCTGTCTCTGCATCTACAGAAACTGTTGCAACTGGTGAATCTTCATATTCACGAGGCAAGTGAACAAGTCCTTAGGCTTTTATTCATTTCCTTCTGGCTTTATTAATGTACAATATACATTAAAATCACTCATATTTTGCTGAAAAAAAAGACACTGCATAAGAAATCTAGCCTGGATCCTCTTTCTAGTCATGAACAGAAATACTGAGAGTTACTCTTTAACCTCAAAGGCAAGTTTGAGTAAAAGTGTGTCTGGGGCTAATAGAGCATGTTCAAGATTGACGAAGGCAGAGCTCTCATACTTTTTGATAGTACAATATCTGCTTCCCAGAGTTTTTCATGGCATGTGCACTGGATGCAAGGCTGCACTGCATTAGAGCTGCCCCAAACCAAGTCCAGAGAAACTACTACACATGGATTGCAGTTGGGTAATTAGTTAGCTTGGAGATTCTATCATCAGATGGCTGCAGCTACTCAGCTAGGCTAGCTTGTGCATCACTCACCTTGCATGACCTCGTTCTCCTTGCAGACAATGCGAGAGCACACCTCCTTGTTTATTATGTACATGCGACGCACACTGGGGGACCACCAGGAACACGCCAAGGACAGAAGCAAAAGGCACAGGGACCCAAAGAAACAAACATGGGATACAGGCAATAAACATACTCAGGGATGCAGCTAATAAACTAAATAAAAATATTCACTGATGAGGAGGCAAATCCAAAATCTTTAGGATTAGTTAGCCTAGACTAAGGCTGCTGCCAATAGGAAAGTAATCTTTGCCAAGAGTTCACATAATGGCCAAATACCTTAAACACAGCTTACAATATAGGGCACATTACAGCTCCATAGTGCTGCAGAAATAATAGTTATTGTGCTGTTTTAATTAATCACCCTAAAAGGACACTCTGAGGATAGGATTCATTTCACCAACTGGTTCCTGAGGGAAGCTCTAAATGTCAATGGAAACAAGTGGTGAACTGGACATGCCATTTCTGGAGACATTTTTAGGGCTTTTCTTTGGGACTGCTGGTTTCTTACCTTGTAACACAGAGGTAACTGATACACTGCTTTACTGGCTTGTGGACAGAGTACAGGCGTGTGCAAGGGAACTTCTCCTCACGACAATCTGCGAACACACACAGAGGCACAATTCAGGATCACTGACAGGGGCGCTCATGCTGGCACACGTACAGCTTCATCACTAGGTACCATCCACCAGGATTCTGGGGAAGGCCCTTAACCTCTGTTTTCCACTCTCTTGTGAGATGGAAATGGTTTAGAGAAAAGGAAAATAAGGCAGACATTTCTGATAGCCTTGCCTTGTAAGACAGAAGAAAGGGAAAGTTGAGTGAAATGCAAAACAAGCCCACTGGGAATCCTCAATTTAGAAGGCACATGCTGTAAATGGGAGAGATACAAATAAATGAAGCACAGATTGCAGTCTCGTGTTTAAGGCACGCATTTATACATGTCTGCAATCTCACACTTCAGAACACAAATCTAGTTCCCTTCTTTCCCAGACAATCAGCCCTGTATCAAACTGTGATGGGTTTTCTTGCATTTCCTTCTGAAATGCCAGGTCTCGCCCACTGACAATGGCAGAAAATTGAGCTAGCACATGTGGCCTGGTGATCTGCCAGTTCCACCCCTCCCGGAAGGAAGATTTCAGCTTCCACTACTGTCATTTTCCAGCACTTCTAACTCAAGGAACAGGGTGAAGGGAATTCTCCAGGAGATACAGGTCAGTGTTCAGCCAGCACCTGCCTCGAGAGGTAACAGGGTGGGTGAAAGTAGGTCTTGGAGGGGGTGCAGGCACCAAACTTCAACGTACCTGACGAAGCTGTTGTAGTTTCACTGTCAGACTGAACTGGAAGACAGAAGGTGGCAACATTAGTGCAATTTACCATAATTCCTTCCTAGACATTAGCTCACTCAAAACATATAACTGGAAAGTTCTTTCAAGAGTGATTTCTAACATGGAAAAGGATTTCATTGTTACCAACATGAAATCATAAGAGAAGGTACAAAGCCAACACGAATTTAGTGCCAGTGACCCAGCCAACAATGCTAAAAATCTGCCCAAGCTTCACCATAAAGCATTACCACTACTATTCAAAATTACACTGTAAGGGCATCTTGACTTATATTTCAAAAGATCAGGTAAATTCATTTAGTTGCTGTGATTGCCATTGATCTAGACAAGAAGCAAAGGAGCCTTTATTTGCCCCTTCCTAAGGAACAGTGACTCCTTTAGGAAACCGCATCCCCAGACCACTGGTTCTTTAATGTCCGTGACAAAGGGTCAAAAGGAAGTTGCTCTGCTATGATAAAACAACCCACCTGTACAACAGTAAAACAGTACATTTTATTATTTACCCAGTGACAAACTGGAAAGGAACCCGGAGAACTGACTGCCAGTGCAAGCTTTCATTGACAGTTACAGAGAACTTATTCTACTCATGTTCATGAGCCATAGTGTCAGCCAGAAGCATAGACAAAACACATGTGCATAGAGAGAATGAGGTTTTTGGGTGTTAGGGCTATGCTTAGGGCAGTCAGGATGTGCAAGGGACTGGGCAAGAAGGGTCCACAACATTTGGGTCTGAACTGGGAATAAACTCACCAGGACTAAGAAGCACAGGTGGTGTGGCAGCTGCAGCTGGAAAAAGAGAAGATGTTCTGAAAGATCCTAATTTCAGCCTCTTTCCCACTCCCACAGTTCTGCTGGTGGCTCACGGCTCCTGACCTGCAGGATCCCACACCTGGTTCACAGACAACGCTAATCGTGATGTTGTTACCATTTCGTTTGTCAGAGTAAGTGTGGTCTTTCCTTGTGAATAAGAGGTGTGTCTTAGAGCTGATGGGACACTTTAGAGCACAGATGGGTCTCATGGCACATCCTTTGTAAAGATTTTCTTCTTGATCCCGCTACAGTTAAGTGTTTTGAAGCCAAACTCTGCTGTAAAGTCTGCACATTTAGTCTTTTTCACTAACCAGATGTGTTCTCCCTCTCCTTGCCCTTGCCTGGTCCCCCCACCCTTTGAGGCGGGGGCTGTTTGAGAGACTGTCCCAGAAGAGAGACAAACCCTTGCTGAGGTCAGCAGTGCTGGATTTGAAACAGGACTCATCTGAAAGAAGTGGGGAGGCTCCTTAAGCCTCTCGCTCTCTCCTCCATCGAGTCTGGCAGGATCAGTCCAGCTTATAAATGCCCACACTCCCATGTCCTTCCTCTGGGTCCGTCCCCATAGCAAGTCTTGGCTCTTTAAGGAGGGACATCACACGATGTAAGTGCTCATTGTCCAGGTGTCCTCTATCTACCCTACCTTTCCCATACATTGTGTTGCCCTCAGGGACACAGCCACAGGCACAGCAGGGAAAACAGTACTAAAATAACAGTATTGCAATCTCTCCATCCCACCGCTGCTCAGAGTTTGCTTTATTACTGTCTTTTGGGTTATTTCGCCACCTCTGCCTCCTGAGCACTCAAGCATGGCTGCTAGTTGTCAACAGACATAAGCTGTGTCCCAGCACTGCCCAGTTAACTGGTGAACCTGATCAATTTCCCTCTCTCATCATTTAGTCTCTTCCTTCCTGCAACCTTCTCTGGAAGCTCAGACTGTGTCACCTTTAGATTTCATGGTTTCCTGTAGGGCAAACGGCTTCAAAGAGCCCTAGTACACCAGGTGAGACTGGCATTTCCTTGTAGAACAGGCCATTAAGCCCCTGAATTCATCTCCCTGGATGGAGCACAGAGAGGACTTCCAGGCAGCCATAAATGCTGAAAGAACATTGCCAGATGTCAGAAGAGGGGAAGAGGCATAATGAGCAATTGCTGGGTCTGTGCAAACAGAAGTAAAGATGAAAAAGGAAAAAGAAGGCTGAAGCTGCCGAGAGATAGGATCTTACCAGGGGTGCTGATAAGAGAGTCGGTGCTAACTTCACCTGGAAAAGAGAATATCCTTGAGAGAGCTTGTCTTTACTTTGTGGTCCCTTACATAGCTAGCATGAATTACCTTAGCCTCCATGGTAGGCTAATGAGACAGTAGGATTCAACCCTGTAAATACTTAAATAAAGTACCTCCATCCCACCCATACCCACCCCCCTTTTCCATGAGATGCCTGGGACTCTATTTCTTAGTGCAAACGTTGCACCAACCATTACTGAACTCTCAGTTCATATTCAGAGCATCTCGATGGGAAAGACAGCCATCTGAAATGGATGCTCTGACGGCTCCTGCAGCAGTAGGACAGACAGCTGAGGCACCTGCTACAGAAAAGGAGGGAGACAACTCCAGAACCCAGCCTCGACTGCAGAAATTCATCAGCAGATGAGTTTCCTTGAAAGGCAACTGATGGCAAAGCTGGGGTAGGTCTGATGGTGTGATGAGGTGTGAAGGAAAGGAAAGCTTGGTGGACATGTTTTGGACTGGCCTGGAAAGCCCTGGGTATTACACATGGCAGGATCATAGCTGAGAGATTTCTGGTGACTTTGCCAGGGGCTTCAGTTTGTAGAAAACGCAAGCTCTTGTGGTTTTTCTGGGTGCTGAAGCATGATGCAAACATACATTTGTATCTTTTTATCACTTTATCATGTCACAGAAATGGAAACAGGTCCAGAGGGATAAAGCAATTTACCCCCACTAACACAACCAGTTTGAAGACCAGCCAATATCCTTTTCTCAGTGGCCTCACTGCTAAAGCACCATGCCACTTTTCCACCCTTGGGATTTTGCTGAAGAGTAATCAGCTCTTGTGGATCAGCCACAACCCTTGACTGTGAACATAACTTCATGTGCTAAGTGTTCAGGACTCCAACACTAGTGAATTACTTGTAAAGAACACACACCACTTAGTAGGTTGTCGTGGAGGGCTTGTTTAATCTCCATTGAAAGGCAAGCTTACAAATGTCAGAGGCAAGGAAAAAAATAACAGCACTTGCAATTAAACAGACTGTAACGCCACAGAACATCTGGGTCACACAAGCAGTCTTTAGCACATAACATGCCTGTAATACTTACCAGTTGCACTTTCCAGTTCTTGCCCATTGACCACCCATGGAAACCAGTCTGCAAGAGCAGAAAAGAGGGGAGTGAAGAAAGGACACAGAGAGAGATTTCTACAGTCTGCAGCCCTTGTGAAATGTTTATGAGATGCTTATCTGTCCAGGAGACACCACTGCCCTCTGCTGAAGGGAGAAATGATCTCTCTGCTGCAGCCTCCACTGCTGGCTGGGTTTGCCATTAAGAGACTGCGGATACAGCGAACCCTCATCCTATCCCTGTTGCTTCCACCAGGGTCAAATGCTAAGCACAGGGACAGGACAGTAAATACCTCCAGATCTGCTACCGGACTTTGTATTTCTGAAACTCCATTTGATGCACTTGCAAAACAAATTGCACATTGTCCCTCTGCTCTGGAGGTCACTCAAAATCCCTATCTCCATTTTATAAAAGAGTCATGGAATTTATTTTCTTGGGGTCACAGATTGAGTCATTGGCAATGTAAGAAACAGACTGCAGGTCTTGTAGCTCCTTAGGCAAATAATTACCCGTCCATCATGCTGCACAGAGCAGATAACCTTTCTCCTCTCAGCACTTGGGTGTGCTGGAGAGTGCGAATGATGAAGGCCTGTCTGAGCATGCTGTGTGGGAAGAGAAGAAATTGAGCTAAACTGTTCGTTTGTCCAAATATAAAGGGTGAGAGAGCTGCTTCCTACAGCAGCCAGGAATAGGAAAATATTTCCTGCTAGCCACAGAGGAGGGAAATGTCTGCATAACTGGGGTGGAATGAAGGAAGGAGTTGGCAGGAAAAACCCAGTGAAGCAGGGCACTGCAGGGATGTGTGCAGGAGCAGCCCCAAAACAGTACACCCTGTCTTATGAACTCGGCCTTTAGCTTTCTGTTCTTAATGGAAGCACGCATGGGTAAAAACTATTGGGTCTGAAGCTTTAGTCTTAGTTCTTTCTCATTCCAAGAGCAGTTACTTGCAGGCTGAAGAAGGACTCTTGGGACCCTATATAATCCTGCTCTGCAGCATTAGAGGAGTTGCTGAACCCTGCTATTCCCTTCCCCACCCAGCTGCCAGAGAGGGCTCAGCTGCTGGCAATGGACCCAGAGAGAGCCAGACATGCATAATGACTTGAGTGCACAATGCAGTGCAGTTCAAAATGTTCCCTGTTCTGGCTAATCTCTTAACAGTAACAAGTAGAGGAGAAAAAAAATTATATTGAACACTTCCTCACTTGTTTCTGGTACAAAATGAAGGACACAGATTCTGAAACCACTGCAGAGGCCAGCGGTGCCAGATTTGAAATAGGAGTCACACAGAAGAAGCAGGGAGGCTCCCCAGCCTTTCTGACATTGAAAATTCAGCTGTTACTAGCTTTTCTTTTTTTTCCGCTCCCTAACAGAACCAGAAAACTGGTCCAATTCTAAAACAGGACAGAAGTGAAGTGAAACCTCTGCATATGAGAGGAGACAAAAGAAGTGACTCTCTTATCCAATTTTCAATCACTTGACCTTACATTTGCTTTGGTACACAATTCACATGCTTTATAAACAACTGGACTTTACTGTCCAAGTTGCAGTAAATTCATCCTTGGGGTCTAAAACTGCTATCCTGATTCACTACTCAGTAGCTTACCCAAAACCAAAAGAGACAATGGGAGACCGGCTGGTGATTCCTGTTATTTTCCAAGTTAAAAAAAAATAAAATAATCCAACAACTGAAAAACAACCAAAGGAAAAAACAACAACTAACCAAAACCAAATAAACCCCAAACTGATGCAACAAACACACAAAAGTAAGAAATATTCCTCTCAGCAATGCATCATAAAAGCCTTTTTTTTCTTCCTCTAACTTTGTAGGTCACCTACAAGCTCATTTCTTGGATGCCTCACCTCCCTGCTTCAGTCACAAACATGACATCCTCAACTGTGCACCTTTACAGGGAAAAGTGCTGCTATTGGCAGCAGAACAGGCTTCAGCAAGAGGTAAGGACCAAGGAGAGTAGATTGGAACATCCTGATTTGATTGTGATAGGTGCAGTCCCGTCTCCCACATGAAGCCTTTCCTGTGCTAGGTTTTTTCCATTCACTGCAATTAATCTTCTACTGTCTGTCCTGAGTCTTCAGACTATAATGTCTAAGTAACTCCAAGTAAATAAAGATGTGGAGCATCAGACCAGAACCACAGCAATGAAAGCAGAGAGATGGTTTCAACTATGGAGGTCAGGTTTGCTGAGTGGCCTGGAATGGGGCCATTCTTGCAAGAACCACTTGTGACAGCAAATGCTTCACAACAATGATGGAACAGATTTTGTGGAGAACTGGGAGATGTTCTGCAGATCATGCCAAGCCAGGTAGAATAGCAGACTACAGTCAGCACAAAGCACAGCTACCCCTCTTTCTCAAACCAACCTGGCTGTTTTGCTAACCCAAACATCCATGCAGGGGAAGCTGTGGACCGCTATTTCTTTCAACACCCAGTACTTAATGGAGAGTGGACACATATGGGAACCACTTCCCAGTTCCTAAACTTTTCTTCACAATCCCTGTATCTACTTTGCCTTTCCTGTTTTGGTCCTTCCCCTTTCACTGTCCATCTACATGTCTTTCTCCTTAGATCACTGCACATCAGCCTGTGTAAGAAACTCCGTGGGGCCAGGGTGGAAGAGAAATCCTCCCCCAGCACAAGGACTCACCAGCTGAGAACAAGGAGAGTGCTAAGAAACACAACAGTATACAGGCTCCAGAGGTCTTCATCACTGTGGAGTGGAGGAAAGAGGAGTCAGGGGACAGCAAAGGCTGGAACTGGGATAACCTCCACTACAGCACAGAAAATTTTTGCTTGCTGCCTCCATTCCCCTCACAAGTTGGCCTTCCTGGCCTCCCTCCTACCCACCTCCCTCCTCATCTGGCCAGTTTTCCAGGTGTTTCCAAAACGTTTTAGACTGAACACATAACTCGCATCTGCTTTCCTTCTCTATCCATCTTTCTTCATTCTCCACCTCTTTTCTCATCCATGCGGCTAAGCCCCCCTCCACACACACCCAGCATGCGAAGAAAAGTTTACCCTTGTTATCTCCCTCTGCTCTCTTCTACTTTTAGGTTATCTTGAGGAGCACTGAGAGAATAGATAGGGTCCCCATCACTTACTGCAGCCCTCGGTGTCCACTCCCTGCAGCAGCTGCTCTGTCTTTCCCCTTCGGCAGTCCCCCAGACTCTGGCTATTGGGTAAATCACATGCAGCCACACCCAGAACACGTTCTGCTTTTGGTTGTCTTCAAAATACAATTTGGGGAAGTTAAAAAAAAAGCCAGCGAGATGGTGGGATGTGGTGTCATCATGCATCTGGAATGATGGGGGAGCGAGGAGAAGCAGCTCACACCCTCATTCCAGAGTTTATGGTTCTCCGAAGGGAGCCCGCTCCTCCCATTCCCCCAGGACGGCCCAGCACCAGGGATGGATTCTTGTGTTTGTGTTGCGTCCCGTTCCATTTCGCCCTCCTCAGAAGTGCCTCCTCTCCTCCTCAGGCGCTACGTCCAGCCTTGTTTCCCCACTCAGCTCCTGCCTCTTTCCACCCCAGCCCTCCGGTCCTCTTCTCCTCCTCTCTCCCCGCCTGCCTCCCGCACTCCGCGGACCCCGCATCCCTGCTTGCCCCAAGCGCCGGACTCCGTGTGCCGCGGCGCTGACACGGGCCCGGGCCGGCCGGCGGGGACGGGCGGGACGGGGACAGCGGCGCCCCGTGGCGCGGGCATATGGCGGGCTGGCCCGCAGCCAATCGGCTGGCAGCAACGGTGGTGACATCACCCCGCTTGTCGCGCCACCGCCGCCCGACGGGATGAGGGCTGGGAACGTGGTTGTGGATGTGGATGTGGATAGGGGTCCCCCAGGACCCGGCTCGTGAGCGGGGGGGACACGGAACAGGCACCGGGCACAGGGTCTTTTCTGCAACGGCGTTGCCGTTCTGGCCAGACTGAGGAAGGTGGGGAATAGGGAAAACGAGTGGGGGAAAAGAAAAATGGGAGAGACGTAAACGGAGAAAGGAGGAGGGAGAATGAGATCGGACCCTTCACTGTCATGCTACGGGCTGCCTTGTGCCTGCCTCCAAGCATGCTGCATTTTACGGTGGAGGGAAGCCCATGAGCCCCACTGTAATAGCCACTCTCCCTTAACCCTTCTTCCAACATCAGCCCATGTCCTGATGCTTTCTGAGAGCCGTCTTTTCCCTTTGCTGTTTCTGGAATTGTTCCTGTGGGTCTGAGGAGGCACTGGCTGGACGGTGCCCCCTCTATGAGCTCCAGGGCACAATCTCAGTCCTGAAGCCAAGGAGAAAGCTAGGAAATAACTTGAACTCCTTACAGCAATGAAAGATGGAAACCTTGCAGGGGAAAGCCACGTCCCCATAGGCTTATCCTGGTAGCTAGGTAACCCTCGTTTGTTTTCAATAAGTTGAGGACTAAGAATAAAATCCTATAATGCCTTGTACACAGTTACTAAGGAAATCCTCAGTATGCCCTCGCTGCCTCAAAAGACCCAGAAAATTGTTACCTGCATGTGACATAACCGAAGCTACCACTTCTTACCTAACAGTGGCTGAGCATCAGTTGTGGCAGTGCTCAAGAGAAAAGACAGAAACAGTGCTCCTTATTTCTGATCCTCCTTAGACTTGTGGGGGAAGCACTGGTTGGACACAAGAGGGGTAGAGGGGATGGGGAAAGCTAGGCATTTCCCTGCTCTCTGGACCCAAGCACCATCACTCTCTCACTGGAGTGAGACACCACCATTCCCATTTTCAGGGACTGGGTAAAACTCAGTCCACCAGAGATGGTGCAAAGGCAATTAAACAACCAAAAGAAAGTGACAGAAGTTGTAACCATGCCTTGGTTTGAGGAATCCTCCCCTATTTTCTGGAAGTTCACATGGCAGTATGCTTGGACTACACCTCTCCACACTGCTCGCTTTGGTTTTTGTTTTTCTCTGTGCCTTTGTGTTGTCATTCAATCTTCTGTTACTGCCTAACTGGTAACTAGAATATCTCATGAGTCCAGAACACATTTATTTGGAAACTTTCAGTGATGCCAAATGCGCTGGTCTAGCGATGTGCTGATGTACCATCATCTCCCACAGAGTGCAGGATTCACCTCTAGTCCTGGACAAGGTTTCTTCTGATTGCTTTTGAGCTTTACTTCTGTTTCTTTCACTGCATCTCCCCCTTCTCCACCCCACCCCCCCAAGTCCTCCCCCAGCTGCTCCGTAGGCCCCTTTTGCTCAGCACCACTCGTCCATTTGGAAAGCTTGGGGCAGGTGCAGGGGATGCTCCTGCTGATGGAATCGCTGGCTGGGAAGCAGTTCAGTATTTTGTATACCAGATAAACCGCAGTGAACTGGCCTCTTGCTGGTTTTGCTCGTTGTGGACACCGGAGGGAGCTGCAGCACACCGGCATGCGAAGCCCCATTTTGACTCTTGCAGCCCAAGCACATTCATTCTTCAAGAGATGTGGCTCTGTAAATGCAGGCCCCGATCTAGTATTAAGGCTCTCTAGGCTTAGCTCTCCTGTTTGTCAGTCTGCTGGATTCACAACTGTTTAACCGGTTTGCTTTTTGGGACAGAAAAGAACCTTGTTATTCCCCCTCCCCGCTTTTCCCATGACATTGACAAAGATAGCTGGACAGCCCTCATGACTGGAGGTATGAATAATGAACATCCTTCTGTACCTAGCCTTCTCATTCATGATGCAATCTTCTGCTTTGTGTGCAGCCGTCCTTCTCCAGCAGGGGGTATCTTGGGGACATTTACAGCATATGACTCAAGGTGAAGTACTCTTCCCTCTTAAAGTCAGGTACTGGTGCCACAGTATGGTGTGAAGCAGAACTATGCCACAGTAAATAGCATAAAGAAAACACTTTTATCGTGTTTTATTGTGTACACTTATATATGCATATATTTTATATGCATAAGCATGTATTTGCTTACGCTGCACTGACCACAGTGCTTGCAGGTGCTTTACTGTGATTCAGCAAAAAGTTCTCCTCCTTCCAAGCTGGTACTGATCCCATTATGTTACCAGGGATGCTATCGTGATGGTAGAATGGCATTTTGGAGAAGACACAAAATCAGTCTTCCTGGAAATTAAAACCTCCTGGTGCATTTCACCCTGGAGATTACTGCAGGTATACTATTTGGGGCAGACTATTTGTAAAGGTCTTAGAGAGGCATTTAAATGCCTGCTGATTTCTCTCCCTCTCTCTGTTACCCTGGCCTTCACGTACCCTCACAGTAACAGGGCATTAAGTTACATCTGAGTGATGAGAAATTAATGAACTGCTGTAAGATGTTTGAATGTATCATGTCAATAATGCAGCATCTCTGGTTATGTCAATGGGGGTTGAAGTGAATTTTCTTGACACCCACACTGCTGATGGGCTCCATAATACCTGAAGTCTGACACTATCCTGCAGTTGTTTCACTGGTGTTTCTAAGCTCATCAGTAGGAAGGCACGAGATGAAGGCCTGATCCATCTGTCCCCAGTTTTGGGAGGTTTACATCTGACCTTGTATCTAACCCATTGTATAAATGCAAAGACTGCAAAGTACAGGAGCCTGGGTGCGATTCACATCTCTTTGACTGATAGTCATACTTTCTATTGTTGCAACTACAAGCGTAAGGAATTCTTCACTCCTTTATTTCTAAATCAATAAGCTAGTGTTTAGGCAGCAGGCAGTTTTGCAGTCACAAAACACCCTAAGGGAGTCCGTGAAACTCTAATTAATACCTGCCCCGCTCCTTCAAATCAGTTCAACATTTGCTAAGCGTTGACATGAGAAGAGACAGTCTGTGAGCTCCTTGCTGCTTAGTTGGTGATTTGGCCACATGCTTAAGCTTCTCATGGCCAAGAAGGCTATGGTGAGAAGTTGTCAAGACCCTTCTTCTTCCCCTGCTGTGCTTTGGGGTTTCTTCCCTTCTCTCCCTATAGTTCTTACTATTACAAACATTCTTCCTTTCTTGTCCTTTGTACTGTCTCAGGGCCAATTCTTCCTGGCTGCTTCACATGTCCCTCTCAGCATGCCCCCTTTTCAAGCAGCTTCTCTCAGGGTACATTTTCCTAGACCATTCTCTCAGGGAGACAGATAACACTTGAGGTTTAACAAATATATAAACCCCACTGCTAAGCCCAGTTATGTATGTCCATATAGACTTTGGACCACATAGAAACACCACTTTAATTCAACTAGTGCAAGTTTTCCATACAGATGAGGCTGTGACCACAAGTTAAACACCAGTAAAGACACAAGGGATTACTCCTTCCCTTCTCCCCCCTCTTCTGGGCATCACAAACCTTGGAATAAAGTCAGCAGGATTAATCATCGCATCGCAGGGTGGCACTGGAGCAGTAACCATAGCTGGCTAAACAAGTCACTGCTGGGAAGGGTCTATTCTGACATTCAATTTTGCAGTGCTGAGGTGTACATTGCTCTGAAATCCTTACACAGCCTCATGAGTCCACTAGTGGGGCTACAGAGAGCACTGGATATTACAGGATCAGTTCACAGCACCTGAGTGGGGCATGGGCTTTCAGTTAAAAGTGGCATCGGAGAAAGGGACGTGTATAGGTGCATACATCAAGAGGATGCTTCATGGGTGCATGGAGAAAATAGGAGCAGGAGTAGTAACTAAAAATAAAATAATAGCATAGTATAATATTGTATCATATTGTATAGTATTGTATCGCATAGTATTTATTATTATAAAATAGGATACCCCATCAGCTTTCAAACATAATGAGGGAAAGGGATAAAAGTGGCAACTTTAAAAAACAATTTACTTTAAATTATGTAACATTTAGAAAAAGATCTGTGGTCAAGGCCATATCCAAAATACGTACACTGTTGCACTTCTCAGTGTCAGCACTGACAGCACTTACCCTGCTTCGGAAAGAAGGTAAGAAAGGAGAACACTGACTGCACTGAGTAGAAGAAATGTAAATGATGCTACGACTGGATATAAGGAGGAAATTCTTTCCTATTAGGGTGGTGAGGCACTGGAATGGGTTGCCCAGGGAGGCTGTGAATGCTCCATCCCTGGCAGTGTTCAAGGCCCGGTTGGACGAAGCCTTGGATGAGATGGTTTAGTGTGAGGTGTCCCTGCCCATGGCAGGGGGGTTGGAACTAGATGATCTTAAGGTCCTTTCCAACCCTAACTATTCTCTGATTCTATGTTAGCAGACAAATTGCTAAGAGTTTAGACTGTGGGGAAAATTAGGAAGCACCACTTTTCAGTTTTTATCCCTCCATTTCCAATGCTTTCACAGGGACTGTAAAGGCTGAACGTATTTTCAATGCTCATTTAAGTTTTATTCTACAGTTGATGTTAGAGGAATTTGACCAGAGATTTTGGGCATTACTACAACTGCATTGCTATAAATCACTGTCTCTCCTGTAGGTACAGCTGACTTCAATCTGATCATTTGAATTTTCTTCTGACCTCCACCTCTGAAGTCACTATTTCTGACTTTATGGCAGACTAAAACCAAGGCAAGTTATGTTAATGAAAATCTGTCCTGATGTGATATGTGTACAGGTGAAGGGCCTGCACTGATTTAGCTCACCTCAGTTTAAAAGAGATGAAACGAGTATCAAATGTAGGCCATTCTCCATCAACATGCACACCTTTACGAGATGCATG